TTTAGTGGTGGACTTGGTAATGTTAGGTTAATGGTTGGATTTGATGATCTTAAAGGTCTTTCCCAACGTAAATGATTCTATGATTCTAAGTGCAGACAGACAGATAGGAATTCAGGAAAAACGCTAAGACGACTTCAGATATTCTCCCCTTTATCCACTCTGTGGGTTTTCTCTGATATCTGGAGTTTGTATTTTAAAGTATTTTCACAGTAAAGATAAAAACTAAAAATAAATTACAAAGTATTTCATTGTCTCAGGAAGCAGGTCTAGAGTTCAGCTTCATGATCTAGTGGGAGCAAATATAAATGCCTTCTGAGCTTCTCACAGTGATCAGCTCTGCCAGCTACCCCTGATGGCTCCTCCGCTTGTTTTCTTCACAGTCATAGTTTTGGTGGCAAGTTCTGCTTTCAGGATGCGTTTTTCCCTCTCTTCTCTGGGATGTACAAACCGTGATGTAAAGCACGGTGTGTGGCAGGGCGAGGTGCTAGCGGCTGAGGACTGACTAGCCACGAGGTGTCTCTCTCTGACAAAGTAATAACCAACCCGGAAAATGGCTCAACAGACTTGCCTGTACCATTTCTTCTGTTCTGGGGCAAAAGCATAGGGTTTTTGTTTTTGCAGATACCTTAATTTTTAGCAGAACATAAGGCGTAAAAAAGGTGTAGAAGTGTAACCTTTTAAAGTTACATATTTTACCAGCTCTGGTAGAGAAAATCCAGGGTGGATCAATGGAAAGAAAGGAAATCTGGGGCATTTTCTCTTCCCTTTACCCCAAAGTTATAGACCGCTGAGGCTCTCCCCTCAGAACAGATCAGGGGATAGCCCTAAATCTTGCAGATGTTAGTCATGTGAGCAGAGTCTCTCTGCCTCTGCACTGACTTTCTTTTCCTTGGCCACATGCTCTACCTTTTACAGATACCTTCTGCTAGTCTCATGCTGTTGAAGTATCTCAGACTTAGACCTGAGTTTAACTTTCCTGGGGAATCTCCTCAATGTTGTGGATAAAATAACATACACACTCTTAGGAGTACAGGGTAGAGAAGTAGTCTTTAAGAGCCAGAGGAAGTGCAGAAAGCCCAGGGGTGCTGGGATCAGTAGCTAAGAGGAGGACAGAAGAACAGAAAAGGCACAGATACAGGGAGGTCTGACACTTTCGGGAAGATCCTGGGCATGGTATGATGCTGTGCTGACAGAAATTTGCCTTCACATACCATGTTTTTCAGTTCTTTAGAAAGCTTTTTTGGGTACATACTGAAGTGTAGCTTGCATTGGGAACAAATTAAGCTTTGAGCACTTTCACGCATGTCCTGTGCTTTATGTTGTTTAACAGAAGCAGATTTAAAAACTAAGAGGATGGGGCGAGGAGGGTGACTTACAGGCAGATAGGCATGAAAGTATTTCACAGGCTGTCTGGGAGAATGCCTTACTGTTTTTTGTCAATCATAAAAGTCCTGGGGTATTTTTTGTTGTTGTTGTTTTAGGGACTTTCACATCCCATCAGAAAGAACATTATCATGTTCTCTGTTCTTAAGAGGATAGGAAGTAACCGTCTCTTTCTTGTAAATGCTATCCAAGGGTATGGAATATGCTCAGTGAGTACTAAACAAAGAACATGTTTCCCCTCTTTTGCTGCTACTGTTATTTACACAGCAACAGGATGTTTGAATTCAGTGATGCAGATTAAAAATTAACCTTTGGCTTTGTTTTTTCTTTTTTTAATTGGCATGTTTTGCTTACTCTCCTTACATGTGTTCCTGAGGAATCAAACCTTAGGTGTGATCAAACCAGTGACTATCAGCCATTTAACACCTATCCCATGTGACTTCTTGACACCCATGACGTTTCATTGAATATTACGTTCAAATGGGGTAAAGCTGTGCAAATAACTGCTTTATATAAGCTTAACACCCGACAGCAGTCAGGGTCTGGTGTGTCTACTCTTCTGTAGATCTGAAGCCCTTTTCATGCTGTTTGTCTGTTGAGGTTTGTAGAGGGTTTGCTCCAGAGGGTGGAGGGTGGAAGCTGTTCTTCAAATGTACGCGGAAAGCTGAGGACAGTCTTCTCTGATGTCCTCTTCACACTGTCCGTGTGAGCCAAGCTGTTAGGCTTTACCAGGCAGGAATCGGAGTAATCCAAAACTAGGAAGTACAAGATGTATTCTTGTGTCATCCCCTGCCCCTGCCAGCTCTGGAGGACAGATCAGTGGTTGTTTGGATGTATTAACCAGACTCTCCATTTCCTGGTTTCCATTAGTTTGTTTGCTAAATTTGGTGATGTGAAAGCATACGTGCCAATGCCAGGCAACACATGGATTAGGCTAACTTGTAACATTGACTATATAGATAATAGAGGGTCATTAGATAGTAGAGTCTGAGCCCAGGTTGTGAACTCATGGGATGTCTGATTTAGAGGTGGTTTAGGACGCCTTATTTGCAAATTATTTTTCATGTGCTGCTTCACCCTACCTTTCCTGTGGTGCTGCTCTTTTCCAGTAGAAGTGATAGTTCCCCTTCTGGGCACAGGCTGCCGTGGAGTTGGGGTGGCCTGCTGGGATAGGGAGCCTTTGGGAAAGGGGTGGAGAATGTGACCAGGTTGGGAAGAGGGCTGGGGCAGCAACTGGGGAGCTCCAGCCAAGCAGGGCAGACGGGAAGAGGGGAGGGAGCTTGCAACTCCGTGGCTCCCGGTTCCCTGGTGGGAGATGATGACAGCCGTGAAAAGCCAAAACAGGGCAGTGCAGCTCCCTCAGCTCTGCGCTCTGTGCTGACCTGCTCCAGCCCTCCCTGACACTTACACCATCATAGGCATCTCCACCCAGCGTCTTCCCCGCTCCATTCGCAGCACCTCGCAGACAAAATCCTTCTTCCCTCTTCTCCCCGCCAAGAGGGGCCAGAGGGCTACAAGTCTCCTCTCCTGGTGGAAGACACGCCTGCAGCTTGGGGGCTTTTGATCAGATGATACATGTGGGAGAAGAAGGAGTCTTTTTCACTGTCTGTCTTCTTTGATTTCATTCTGAGAGCAAAATACAGTGTGGAGATTTGGGATTAGCATCAGCTAAGAGATCATTAGTGTTACAGAAGCTACATTGAGGTACACCTGAAAGCCCTAAAATATCAGCTCTAATCCTTAGCTAGGGTAGGAATAATTAAAATTAATTGTTTGAAGTGTTGCTGGTCTTGAGAATTTACCAAGGAGTTATCTGAGCTGGGTTTTGGGCTAATACTACACTGTTGGATCTGTTAAATTTTAATTTAGTTCTTACTTAGTACATAGTTTTGCTTGCTTTCTAGGACCCACCAAAGTAAGTTCCCAGGCAAAGGAATGCTACTCTGGAGTGATCAGAGAGCAGGATGTTCGTGCATTTCAGTAAATCAGTAGCGTTTCAGAGCATCCCCATGTGAAGATGAGTACTGACTGAGCCCTGTGTCTGAGATTTTTTTTTTCTTTTTTTAGCAACTGAAATGTTTGATTCTTGTGATGATTCTGGTAATTTTGTTTATTTGCAGAAGTTAGAGAGGACAGTAGTTTTATTCTTTAAAAATTATTACATTTTGGGTTACACAGCCTTGACAGTGTCCCTTTGATTTACACAGGACTCTCAGTTCAAGCCCGGCATGTTTCACTATTGCAACACATATGGTTAGTAACATCTCCTGCTGTTGGGAGGCCCCCTGATAGAAGACCATATGCATTACAAAGGAAGTGTGCTTCAGTTTCTTCATTTATTGTCTTGCTGTTTACTGTAACTAGGAAACTTAGGAACTTTCAGTAGAAATATTTCAGTTTTACTGTTTATATATCAAATCCAGGAATTAGCTTGATAACGTTTCAAGAAAATGGAGACATCCTCTTATGTGTGCTGTTCTTAGAAGTGCAACAAAGTCAATTTGGTGCTAGGAATGCAGAGTTTGGAGGGGGCAGAAGGGATGAAATCATCGCACTTCTGCTTCTTCTCTTATTTTAAATTTTATTTTTTTGTAATACACAAGAGAATCTGGTCACTGACTTTGGCTGAATCTTCATTGCTTAAGAAAGTTGAGAAAGGCAGCATTATCCAAAGGTGTAGATACTGAACGCCCAGTATTTCAATTAAACTTCAGTGCATTAGGTGAGAGTACTGGGTATGGTCAAATTAAATGATAACTGGTCCTTCATTAAACTTCTTTATGTCCTTTTCATCTCTTTTATCAATTTGAAATAACATAGACAGGAAATACTACAGTATTTGCATTTTGATATGTACTATTTTTAAAACATTTTAAGAACATTAGTTGCTAAATAGAGACAAAACCATCAGTGAATCGCTATCTGTGACAGGCTGGGAGTGAAGTACTTCTGCAGAGCCAGAGCTGCAACTGGTATCTTAACATTTGATGAATTTGGATTTTTTGTCGATACGTATTTTATTTTACACGTATATATACAGACATTTAAAAAGGTTTTATATACCTAAAATCTATACTGCAATCTAGGCAAAATTGAAACCTAGGTAAGAAAGTTAAGCTTTATGGGATATTTCATAAATGTTTTAAGAAATACGTAAACATTGGACCCTTGTAAAAATCTGCCAAGGCACTTAACTGGTATGTCCAAGTCCCAGAGTCCTTTGTAGATCTGTCCTTTAATTCCCAGCAGCTGTACTGCCTGCACCTGCAGTACTTGGAGCACCTTCTGCGGTACCGCATTAACTCTAAAAGACGGTGAGAATTTTTGCAGTTGTCCTGAGAGCTAGCTGAAGGTAGCAGCCACTTTGTATATATTGCTACTGTCTTTGTAACATCAGAAATAAAAATCTTTCAGTTGTTGCTGCGAAAAATTTAAAAATAATTTCTGTGAAAACTACAGTTGATTACAGAAAATAATTTTTTTGAAGCCTTAGGAGAAATGAAAGAAGAGCAGCAATTGCAAAACAGCCTGTGCACTTCTGAACATGATTTGCAGCTACATCTCGCACAGGGGAAGAGGTGCTTGGCTCCTCTTTTTCCCTCTGATCGGTTTCCATGCTTCTGAAGTAGCCAAAATAGGATGTGAAGCCAAGCAATGCAGGGATGGGCTATGATGCTGCTTTTACTGACATCAAGGATGTGCTTGTGCCTCATCCAGATCTCTGCCGTTTGGTAGTTTTATAGTCAGTGCCTTGGTATTCAAGAAAACCATGGAGCGGCGTTCCATGGCAGCTGAGTGGTGTGGAACACTTCATGCAGTGAGCTGTTACTCAACTGCAGATGACTTACTCAATTAAGCATTTTCATTTAGAAAATGAACATAGTACATGTCGGTTGTATTTGAGGGAAATACTACTCCAGTGAGCCATAACGGAAAATGAAGTCAGTGAGATCTGGAGCCAGGACATCTAATTTTAATCAAAACTTGTTGTGAAGCAGCTTTGATAGCATCTACAGTTGACATCAAGTTCTCTAACTGGGCAGAGATCAGCGATGGTGAGGGATGCTTCGCTTTAATAACAGGCACCCAGCAGGTTGTTTTTCCAAGACTTCATTGTGCAGCGAAGAGTATGAGGCTATTCCAGTTCTAAGCTTCTTTTTTCCTTGCCTCCTTCTACACAGTTCTTAATCTATCTTACCTCTTTCTGCTTGCCATTTACTTTCAGGCAAGAGTACTTTGAAGAGAGATGAGGTAATTAACTGCAGTTTTGGTATTAGCATGCTGAAAAATGATCAAAAAACTAATGTTTTTCTGAAGTGAAACTTTTTGACGAGGAATGATCTTTTTAACTTCAGTGTTCAGGCTCCCTGATTCATAGCTCTTTCTGTGTGCTATTCCATAGACTAGATTGTGCCTGGAAGGGGGAGGGAGGGTGAAAGTCTGAAAAGATCCCTCTTAAGCTGATTATACAGCGACAGTGATGAGCCGAGTCTGCCTCAGTGAGCCCACAGGGAACTGGTCTTGCATGTGAAATCAGAATGTGCTGTGTGACGACTGTTTCTGCAGACACATAAAGAGTATTCCAAATAACAGGTAGCAGATAGGTAGAAGTACTTCTGGAACATTTCTTTTTAAAGTGCATGCGTTAGAGACAGCCCTCTAGGCCGCATATATGTTTCTGTGAGCTGTGTCGTGGTTTGTCTCTTTCCACTTGGGAGAGGAAGATCTGCAGCAAGATCTACAGCACTCCCATCGCCTTGGCTGTCGATTTGAAAATTTGACAGAAAGAAAGTCCATATCACAGGAAGTGTCAGTCAGTTTGAGTAGATAGACATGGCCTGTTTGAAAAAATTTGTGGAAGATGAGGAGTTAAATGAAAAAATGCTAGAAAGCCTCATTTTAGTTGATAACATATAGCAAAAACCTCATCTGAACAGTCCTTGTAAGTATTTTAATAAATGTGCCCATCTTTAGTGTTTCCTGCAGCTAATGCTGGTGACCCTATTTCTGTGTCTAAAGATTACCAACTTTGACTAAAGTCTCCTTGGGAAGGCGCTTTGACTTAATACCATGCCATGTTAAATGCCAGATATCAACATATGCCTGGGAGAGGAATCACAAGCTTGTTAATCGCAAGTCAACTGAACTGGTTCCATAACCCTACTGATATTCCAGTTTGTTCTATGCATACAGTAGCGTTGATGCTTTCTTCAGCTGTCAAGATGAAGAATTGCAAAACCTTGTTCACTCATCTTGCAAAAAAACTTCCAAAATTCCACTCACTGATTTTGAGTTATTTCAAAACCTTTTGCAGTTTGGTAATTTAAGACAGTATCATACCAATATGCAAAATAGCATAAAATTAATGAGGCAAGATACTATGTCAGCTTCTGGTTATATATGCTGTGTAATTAATAGCGTTTTCTGTGTTACCCTTCGGCTCTGGTCATACAATCTTCTTACCTCTTTCAGACCTGATGTGCTCTAACTTCACCTTCTCATTTAAGGAAGGCGCTCTCATTCCCAGCTTTAACAAACATGGCCAGATAGAGGGGAAGAATCACAAGGCATGCTGCACAACGCTGCTGAGTCACATGCTGCTTTGGGGACCTTGGCCTTCATTAGGTCTTTTTACTCGAGTTATTAGCTCCTTGGAGCTAGGGTTCTTGCTTGCTCTTTTTTTGGTAAACACTAACAGTTCTGATTTTGCTTGCATTTAAAAATTGGTATCAGTTAATTGAGTTTAGCAGCTAACTTGTTTACCGTTTTGCTACTGGGCACGTACGCTTGTCTCTGCAGCCAGCTAGAACCTGCAGGATAACGTTTCATCTGCCTGATAAACAAGTTAACACACTGTTGTTCCAACATGTTGTTTTGCTTTTAATTGTAGGACCAGAATCTTTGCATAACTGATCATGATTATCCTGGATATAGTGATTCATAGTTCTTAAGTAGTGTTTAAAAAAAAAGG